GTCACTGCATCTGACCACTGTCACATGGTGATCTGGTGGACTTGTTAGACATTTTTTTAAGGCACAGTCACAATGACAGTAAAATGACATCTCATAGTATTAGTGAAGCAAAGCCACCACATTGCTTGTGTACACATTACCTAATCTGACCCTTCCAAAAGACACATGAACTCTTCTTCTCTTTTGTACTGGGGATCGAACTGAGGACCTTGTGCTTACCAGGCAGGCACTTCAGCCACTGAACTATCTCTCCAGCCCAACTTATTTCAAAGGTGAAGAAATTAAAAATATAGAATTGAACTTTAAAATCAATACAAAGTAATGTGCTCTGAGTTTTCAAAGGTGAATTGTTTATTCCCAGATGTCTTGATATCTCAAAAATGAAAAAAAAAAAAAAAAAGAGGGAAGCATCTCCTGAACAGACCGATATTCTGAGCCCATAGGAAGAGCACGTGATGTCAGTCTCATTTTACACAATGTTTCCGCCCCCCTTAGATCATGAGCAGTGCACCCCACCTTACCTGGGAGAGGAAGGAGCCTCATTTTCACTGCTGTGGCGACCAGCGGTGTCCTGGACTCATGTGTGGCCAGCTCCATGCTCTCGGCGGCTTAGGTCCCACTTCTTCCATCTGAAGACAAGCAAGATCTCTCGAGCTTGGCCCTGGTAGGGGAAGGCAGCAGAATGCCGGCCATGTCTGTGTGCCACAGAGGGCCGCAGGCTGTCCCAGGAATCTGTGGCATTCTTGGTGCTCGCCCCAGGATCATATCTTTAATTAAAACTCTGTTAAAAGGCTTTCTATCATGTGTTGACAACTGTGAGCATTTTACTACTAATAAAACAAACAAGTCCAAGAGGATTTGTCAGGAGTCACACAAAGCCGACAGGGATGTAAGACAGATGAGGACACTGGGTGAGTTGCCAGGGTCACACATGAGCTCCCTGGGGCCATGGCTGAGCCAGAGACAGAAGCCAGTCCTCCTCCCACTGCTGCAGCCTGCCCGCCTTTGGGAAAAGCAGAGTAACTCTTGGCCTGACTGCTCCAGGCCTCACTGGTCTTTCTGGGAGGCCTTGGAACTGGGAGCCGGCAGAGGGCGATGTCTTTAAAATGCCGCGTTCTGCTCCCGCGGACCTTTCCCAGGGAGCTGTCCCAGCCGTGGCCTGAGCAGCTCCTGATGGGGGAGGCCTCTGAAACATTTCCCTGGGGAACTTGGCTCTCGTTTCCAGAAGTCAGAGTTTGGGGCTTGGCTCAGAAACTCAGGCGTGGAAGTGCTTCCTGCCTTGGAGAGTGGGGAGAAGCTTGGTGCAGCTCTGCCTCAACTCTGGTAAGCCAAGGAGCTCCTGGGTGGAGCCTCCTGTGTGTGGACTTCAAGCCCATGGCCACTGGGAGGATGTGAGTGAGGGGCTCTGAGTAGATGAACAACCGTCCCGTCTCTTACGCGCCTGTGGCCGAGATGCCAGGGCTTCCTCTGTCCAGTGATGCATATGCCTTTTGAATCAGCTGGGCTGGTGAAGATTAGAAAGGACAGAAGGGAATGACTCCCTTGGTCACAGCCCTGGATGTGGCCACCTAGAGAAGGATGGGGGCTTCTCAAACCCACAGGGCTGGTTAGTGTCAGAGCTGGTGCCAAGCCCAATCCTGGCCCCTCCTCAGTGGTGTCCACCTGCAACTGTTCTTGGCCCTGAGTTCTGCTTTCTGTCCTGCAGGATCTTTCTGTTATTGGTAAGTGTGCTCAATAGCCAAGCATGCTTGTAGTTAAAAATTAATCTCATGGCTAATTGTATCCCCGTGAACGTGCTTTGTCCTGGCATCAACAGTGTGGCACATGGCCATCCCTGTTCCCCTTGGCCCTCAGTCGTTTTCACTGATATTGTGCAGGTCAAATGAGCTGACCTCAAAGGCCCAGTCCCACCCTAAGAAATGTCCTGCTGTGTCACGTCCTGAGCGCCACAGTGAGAGCAGGACCCCACTGCTTGCAGCTCTCCCCGAGCACTGGGAGTGTGGGGAGGTCTGCACATAGCCGCCCCACTCAGTGGCCAGGACAGGCCTAGCCACCTCTGCTGCTCCTCCATGAGCGCGGCCCCTCTGGCTTGCTGGCTCCTTTGTCCATGGGGCACACTTCCACTGCCTTATCTTTCCACAGACTTTTCCAAAATGAAGTGTTCAGACTTGAGCCCAAGTTATTAAAGCAAATCCTACTGTACAGCTGAGAGAGATTTGTTGGCTTTTAGTGACAAAGGGCTTATGGTCCAATGCACAAAGATGCTATCTCAAAGGGAACTGACAAAAGAATTCTGTGCCTAATGTAGGGTTACCACGTGATGCCATGAGCTGGGTACCATCAAATGCCGCATTGTGACCTGTGTCTCTGTGACAACAGAGGCAGTAACTTGGCAGCTGTGCAAACGAAGTGTGGTTCTGCGGCTGCCTCGAAACGGTCTGTGTGGTTGGTTGTGGCACGAGAAGCATGGTAGCAGGCGGCACCTGTGCAGTGTCTGACGTGCACACAGCAGGTGGCACTGCTGGTTATGTCACCAGCTTGTGGGTATTGTCAGGCACATGGTGAGCATGCTCATAGGTGGGCATGCAGGGAGTTGGATCAGGACAGTTTCACCATCAGCCACTGTGCAGCTCGTGTGTAGAGCAGCACAGGCTGTGTGCACACATGCATGTGACAAGGGCTGGCACAGAGAGGCTGCACATGTAGCTCTGCAATTGTAGGCAGAATAATGGGTGGGTGGCCCCGTAGCCAGCTCGTGGGCTTGGATAGGATGAGCTTTCCTCCCTCTGTGGCGCAGCAAACAGCAGACAGGAGAGACCCTAAGATAATGCAGTTGGTGTTAGCACTGGGTTTCTAGGAAGCTGGCAGCAGCTGTTAGCAAGATGATACACAGTCCAGTAGAGGGGACTGATGTTGTATTAACAGTGAAAAGCTCCTCATTTGACTGCACATCTTAGAAAGTTTGACTGAGGTCAGAAAGCAGAGAAAGCATGTAGCTGCATTCTGAACAGGGAGATGACCCCACCAAGAGTGGATTTTTAGAAGAACCAGGCTGGCCGATGATAGGTGAATGGAGCCACCAAGGCAGATAACAGAGCTAAGGCCAGTCCAGGAGCTACTGCAGAGTCCCAGCAGCCCTGGGAATGAGTGAGGAGGGTTTCTGTTGCCACTCCTGCTGTGGTTTATATCCAGATGTCCCTCAGGAGCAACGTGTGCTTTGAAAGGAAGGGCTTTGAAAGGCGGCCATGTGCCCGCCCTGGCTGCAGAATGACCTACCAACCAAGGATGACAGGTCATTTCATGGAAATTTCGGCTTATGGAGATTTTTGTCTGCCTTTGAGTGGGGTTGAGTTCAAGGGATGCTGTCTCACCGTTTGGCCCAGGGGTGGATGGAATCCACCTACACAATGAGCCCTCCCTGCCTGCCACAAGAGCCAGCCTGGTACCCCTGTTGCTTTGCCTTTGTGATGTTTTTCCTGTGCTTGCTGCATTTGGTGCAAACAAAGTGTGGGTACAAGTACATACCCCCGGGGGAGACTGTGTGTGCTCTTGGGGTGCTCCATGCCTTCGCCAGAGTCCTCGCCCACCCCTTATTGCACGTCGAATGGAGGAGTTGCAGGAGAAGGTGCAGTCTTCCAAAGAGAGAAGATGTCACAGTTCTACAAGTTCTCATTTTCCTGCCTTTGGAACTCCAAAGGCACAGAGGCTTTATCATTAAAGAAAAGTACTGTTGGCAGAAAAGCAGAGAAATACCGTAAAAATGGGTATTTTGAAATGGGATCTTGAAGAAGTCCCATCCGGGCCCCCTGAGGGCCCTGTCTGGTGGTGCTCTCAGCAATCACGGCAGTTCCCTTAGAGGGAACCTCAGAGCTGCGCTTGCTCGGTGACCTTGTCTTTCTCTTCTCTGCATCAGTGCATGTTGCTGGCTGGCACACCGCAGTGTGTCCCTGAGGCACTTGGAGTGTGGGCGTGGCACCTCTTTTTCTCTTTCCATCCCGCTCCACCACCACCACCACCACCTTCCCTCTACATGTTGGTCCTTCTCCCATTTGCCAAAGATCAGGCTCCCTGTTTCCTGTAGTGCATCTTTTCTTTTGCTCTTTGATTTATACTTTGGGCTTCTCATGTAAGAGAACCCAAACAGCTTTTAAGCTTGTGTGTCTGATTTATTGCACTTAACATTATGCATACAAGGTGCATCCATTTCCTACAATTGACTCAAGTTTATCCTTCTTCACAGCAAAATGGTACTCCATTGCGTATGAATACGTAATTTTCTTTTCTGTTTGTGTACTGATGAACATAGAGGCTGCTTCCAAGCCTTCGAGATTGTGGGTTGTGCCGCTGTAGGCATTGGCATGCATGTGTCGCTGTGGTGTGATGTCTCTGTGATGCGATCTTTGGGGAGACACCCAGGAGAATGTCTGGGTTAAATGGAATTTCTTGTATTTTTGAGCAGCCTACACGCTGATGTTCATAATGGTTGCACTAGTTTACATTCTCACCAACAATGCAGAAGGGTTCCTGTGTCCCCACATTCTCACCAGGATTTATTATTATTTGATTTCTTGACAACTGTCCTTTTCTTTTGGAGCAGTGACTTTGCCTCTTCACTCAGGGGCTCTGCCCTTAGAAACATTCCTTCCACGTTTTCTTCAGTTCTGTTTCCTCTCATCATGCCATACCTTCATGCAGAGCCTTACCTTGTTAAGAGAACGAAGCTGCCCAAACTCAGCAAGTACCAGGATCTGAGGCATGGCCCCTCCTCGAAGGGTACCCCACTGATAACCCTGGTGGCTCTTGGCAGGCCTCCCGGGAGCTGAGCGGAGTGCAAAGCCTTCCTGGGGCCTCCCAGCCAGGCCACTCATTGCTCTGAGGCCTAAGCCCCGGGTGCCACCGCCATCGCTTCGCACAGTAGCAATGGACATCACCTTCGCCGCAAGCCAGGCGCTGCACTGTACATGCTGACCACCTTGTAAGGGTTGCTGTCCACCCCAGGCTGCTGGACCTAGTCCTGACCAGCCAAGTAGTCACATCTGTGCCTCTGTGTGAGCAGCTAAACAGACTCCGCGACCCCTGGCTGTGTCCTTTATCTTCTGGCTCGGTCTTCTCCTGCAGTCCTGCTTTACGTGTGAGCCAGCTCTGACACTGTGTAAAGCTGGCAGCCAAGTGTTTAGATGCTGCTCTACTTGGAATTGTACTCCTCAGAGGTCCAAACATGGATCCTGGTATTTTGTAACTGCTCAGGGAATGTCACTGGGATTGACGGGACATACCCGCAGGCCCGCAGACCTTTAGGGCTGGGGCGTGTGCCAGGGAGCGCAGGTGGGCAGAGAGGTAAAGTAGCCTGTGGGAGTGAGCACTGGGGGAGCCTATGCCAGATTCTCTCTGGGGTGTCATGATCCAGGCTGCTCGAGGGCCCAGAAGGGCAGAGCTCTGTCCTCCCTGTGTCTCTATCCACAATGGGAGACACAGGAGGGCCTAGCACATCACCACTGACCTCTGGGTTGGAGCAACTGTGTACCAGCGAAAAAGCATTTTGTCTTCTATGCACTTCATGGCCTCTTACTTTAGACTTCCATTTGAAAATATTTCACATTGAAAATCAAGATGTTTTTAGATTGCTGGGTATTTGGATTGAATATAAATGCAAAAGCTTTGAAGAACATGCTGTTTTTTTCTTAGTCTCTGGTACTTTCTATTCTTGTTGTTCTAAATTACCACAAAGAGA